TTGGATTAAAAAATGTCTGCATTGTCGGTTATGTAAGACCTAACGATGCGAATTAATTTTGAAATGACGTTATTTAGAATGATATGTTTTAAATAGTTTCTATTTTTAGAACAGTAAAAGGGAAGTATCCAAATTAAAATTAAGAATAAAGGGGCTATTGCTATTTAAAATTAAAAGTTTACATAGTTTTGTCTTGCATTCACTGTAAAACGTGATTTTGGAGCTGTCCTGATTAATATTGGCTGAAAAACGTATGTTTCGATACTTCATCAAGTGTCATTGTTATTCACTCCAAATCCGTACGAGTAACGTACGTAACGTGGAGAAGAAAGAAAAAAACGTAACAATATATACATATATATATATATAAGTCTACTTGATCTGCCTAAACTCTTCCCTGATATGCTCAGTATCATGACTCTTGACAAATGGAAAACCTACCTAAAATGCACACTTTTTCATAACTACATCAAGTTTCAAAATCAACTTTTTAAACAAGTCAGAGGATTGCCAATGGGCTTACATTCCAGCACCTCGATCTGTAATATCTTTTTATTTGTCAAAGAATTTAACTTCCAAAAAAATCTACAACCACAAGAGTTAAATTACTACGAACACACCTACAGATATATTGATGACCTTATTACAATTAATAATTTTGGTAAAATTGAACACTCCGAGATTTATCGAATTGTCTTAACTTAATAAAACTAATAATAATTCACAAAATAGCATAGACTTTCTAGATCTTCAAATCATTAACTACAAAAAAATTTTACTCTTTGACAAAACAAGAAACTTCAATTTCAATACTAACAAATTAATAAATTGGAACTCCAACATATCCAAAAAAGTAATATTAACAATACTATAATTAATCAAATACAACGAATAAAAATTATATGCACAGATACAATAGATTTACAACGCGAAATTTTGCTTCTTATTAAAATTCTCATAAATAATCTAATACCCATTCAATTTATTAACCATTGCCTTAAAAGAGCAGGCGTTAAATACTCACTCTAAATCATTTAACTGATAGGGATATGATAATTTGTTCCTAAACCTGAGAAGGCAGTATAAGTTGGATGACTATCAGTTGAAGGATTTGTATATAGGGTAATTACTCAATTATATATTGTAAAAATATATGTAAAAATAAAAATTATATATTGTAAAATATATTGTGTGTTATATATTGTATAAAATATATTATATATTGTTTTACAATATATAATAAATTATATATTGTAAAAAGCTAATTGTCTTCAGACTTATGCTGTTACTATGCTGTTCTAAAAAAATGGACCTATTTCATGACTTTAGTCTGTCTAATAGCTCTTGGACAGTGAAAATTCCTTTTTTCCTTTCTTAAATTCTTAATCATTGCGACACGACAATTAGCCAGAAGTTAATTAATTTCCATTCACTAGTATTTTCAAAAAAAATCTTAACAGACAGCCTCACTCAAATAAGAACTCCACATAAAACATCCCTCAAGAATTCCGAGTCCCACCCACTACCATAAATTTCTTCACCCAAGTCTTACCGACTGATATTATTCAAAGCCTCCCACTGCTGCTAAGAATTTTCGGACACCCTACACTTATGAGTCAGACACGAAGAGAACACTTTGCCAACTCCCCCACTAGAAAGAATGTAAGTTACTTAATACCTTTTTTGGCCTTTATATCTTCATGTACATTCACTGTTCTTATTTTTTATATTATTTTTATATTGTCTTTGATTTATTTTTACAAAGTTTGCATTATTTGTCTTATTTTGTAATCTTCTATGTTTATTTCAACTTTACTTCGATTCGATTTCATAATGACAATTTCCAATGTTAAATTTTTACAAATAATATAGAACTCAAATGCATAAACATGAAGGTGTCGGGGACGGTTACTCGAGTTATTTCGGATTTCTCTACAGAAATTGCTTTTTACTCCAAATTGAATTGACTAAAATGCTTCATAAGAATAAATCCTTTGAATATCAGCATTGGTTCGTAATCCCTTCTATTCGCGGAAGATTTTGGCCTGACTAGAATTGCCGGTTTGGCTTTAACTTATAACTCGAGTAAAGACGAAACACCTTCGTATTTACGTATTTTTGTTAATTATTGTTCATTGAACGGGAGTTGGTTTGTTCCCCTTGAAAAGTCAACTAATTTCCGATCAACGACAATGATTACATGTTTTTAATTTTTCGTTTTACAATTGAAATTTTATTCTTCATGATGATTTAACTCCAGTCCCCGTTAAAACATTATTAACATTTTGCTTTCAAATTACTTCAAAACATCTTTCAAAATACAACTTACCAGTATGGATTCACTCTTTTAAAATAATTCTACTTTAATTAAACTTAGGAGATAATATAATCAATTAATCAATATTGTTTAGGAAATAAATTATTATTAACTAACTTTGCAGCAATTGCGCAAGTAGTAGTAAACTTGTTTTCGCACTAAATGAATTTAAGATCATACAACATTATATATATATATATATATATATATATATATATATATATATATATATATAATATATATATATATATATATAAGAGAGAGAGATGTAGATATAGATATAGATATAGACATAGATATAATATTTAGACATTTATGTACTGTATTGTGGAAATGGAATAATATTTATAACACAAGATACTCAAATTTGAGCTTTGCAAGATGTAAAGGATAACAAAGTATATATCTTTGTAAGTAGAAAATAAAACAAAGTCTCTTTGAAGATAAATACACTATGTACAGCTATTTTGGAGCTTTGCAAGGGAAAGCAAAGTCTATATCTTTGCAAGAAGAATTAGATAAACAAAGTCTCTTGATAGCTCTATTTACATTTAATATATGGGATATATATCACCACTTGGTATTGTGACAGATGGATCTGGGTCTTTTTGCTGCATGCTCAATTGTGTGGTAGTAATCAACTAGTTTCTGTATAAGCTCGTATTTGGAGTGCTTGATTTTTTTCAAAGAAATGATGCATGTGGTGAAGATTTGATCTTGAATTGGTCTAATTTTTAATTCTTTGTGGATATGGAGGTTACGAACAAACCAGGGAGCATCGAGAATTTCTCGGAGGATTTTATTTTGGAAAACTTGTATCTTCTTTCGAAAGTCTAGAATACTGTGGCCCAAACAGGAATTGCTTAGGTCTTCGTAGGTGCGTAGGCAACAGTATCGGTCTCAACAATGCAAATTCTTTTGTTTATATTGATGTTTAAATTTGATTTTTTCTCTATGAGGGAATTCAGTGCTATTTTAATTGCAATTGATTTTTATTGCGTATTCTGTATGCTCTTTGAATAATAATTGTGGGTCGAAGAGACGCTAAGGTACTTGATTGTTTTTGAAATCGGAACTGCCTGATGGTCGGTTTTGATTTTTATTTCTACTGAAGTGAATTTGCGATGTCTTCTGTATAATAATATATTACTGTTTGAAGGGTTTATTTTCAGCTTCCAAGTTTTGCAGTAGTGGGATATGATCTTAACCGCTGTTTCAAGTTTTTCAGTTGCCAGCTGGGGTTGAAGACATTTGGTTAAAATAGCCGTGTCATCAGCTGTTTTTAAGGTTAGAGGAATGTGCATATCATTTGTGAATGAATGCCCAGGGTAGAGTCTTGGACAGGGATCCCTGTGGCACTCCACGTCTGAGTATTTTTCTTGAGAATAGAGTGTTGTTAATTTTGACTTAAAATGTTCTGTTTTTAAAAAGCTTCTCATTATCTTGATGATTTTGATAGGCAGTTGAGCAAGGTGTAGCTTAAAGAGTAAACCCTCATTCTACACCTTTTCGAAAGCTTTCTAAGGTATAGAAAACAGCTTGCAATAATATTCTTTTGAAAACGTTTCAGCAATTTATTCTGTTACGTTTAAAATCGATGCACAGTACTATGTTCTGATGGCCCTCGAATATCTTTTTTTGAAGCTTTTTCTTATTTTTAAGCATTTTTTTAATTCGTTGCCATTCTATAAGACTGAAGTGCTACAATGACAAGAAATGTTCTACCTCTCATTTTATACGAATTCAGATTTTTAACTTCATACAATTGAAGCTCATAAAGAAGAAAAGGCTACTTCATTTCTTGTTACTTCTTGTGTTATTCGTAGAATTACTGGACGTTTGGGATTTATAATTTCGTTCAGAGCTTTGCCCAAAATTATAAAATGTCCATAATTTTTAAATGAAAAGTCTAGTGAGATTTTAAATAACAGTCACTTTTTCTGATAAAACTCATCAGTTCCTATAAAAAGAATTTTCGGTTCTGAGCAATTTTTGTTTTTCAGAAAGAGGTCGGTTACATGTGTTAAAAGTGAAAGAAATTTTTACTTTGAAAAGAAATTTAATTATTCGTGCAATCATTTTTATGACCATACAAAATCCAAAAGAATTATCCACATTCATCTTTAGTATGATTTCCTTTTATTATTTCATACCAACTTTTATCCGTCATACAAGTTTGCGTATAGTATATATTGTAAGCTTTCTAATCACAAATAAATTTGTTTAAAAATGTCCAGGACACGGACATTAGCAGAAAACTTTCAAGAGGAAGAAAGAGACTAGTGATAAATAATTAAATCAATAAATTTTTATACAATTTTTAATTTAGATTTTTAGATCAGAAATAGATTACAACACACGGCGTTTCACTAATGCAAAAACAAAAACACTAAACGTATACTTTTCATGCATAAATACAAACACACAATTTTTAAGTATGATGTGCCTCTAACGCCAAAATTGCCACTGCTTCTTTCTTCTTCACAAAATACCGTAATGCTCATAGTTAAAAAATCTGTTTAGCTTCCTAATTTTGTACACAGTCTGTTTAGTTCTTTTATAAAATTAATAACGCATATTTTCAGAAACAAGCATTTTTCCTTCTTTGAATTATAATCGCATGGATATACCACACTATCTAGCCATAAATTCTCTTTCGACTGGAGTCCAATGTAAATTACTACAATTGTCACTTCGACTATTATTATCCCATGGCGGTTGTTAATACTCTACGCGCTGTATTTGTGTATAATCGTCTAATGTATTTTTATAATTGACTCTGAGATTTGTGAATTTTATCCAGCCGTTTTAACATTTGTTTACAAATGTTGAAGCAGTTACAAATGGGCATTCGTGCTTTTCTTTTATTAGCATCAAAAATATGGAATTTCATTTGTTTTGTAATTCGGAAGCAGATGAGAACGGTAAGCCTAAGAATAAAATTCTTTTCTGTATATTTTTTATATTTTCAGAGTTTTTTGTAATCATTGATTGTAAAAATTCAAATCATTTTGTTCAAATCAAAACAAAAATGTTCAAATCATTTTGCTGGGCGCTTTTACTGATATTATCTGTCCCATTTCTGTATCGGACGTATAATTGTGTAATTTTACGTTATATTTCATTTTCTTATTCAGTTTTTGGATAAATTAATTTATTTTTAGATACCCTTTTAAAGCGTTTATGAATGTTTACATTTTATTAAGAATAAGCTGTTTAATATAATTAGTAGTATAGCTTCGAATTTGCTGTGCTATTTTTAATGTTGTTTGTTCCCATTGCTGCGTTTAAGATCTATTACTTTTAAGAAAAGATGAGGTTAATTTCTGATTTTGCTTTATTGAAATTCTAAAATATATTTTTAATTCGCCACTGTTCTTAATTGATTTTTTGGTCCCAAGCACAATAATGTTCCATTTGTTAATAAATTTTACACTTATGAAATGCTAAAATGGGTTAATCAACTTGAGATTTAGAAATGTTTTAGTTTCATTGCTAAACCTTAATTTAACTATTTTTACTAAGGTACTCTTTTAATAATAATTGTTCAAAATTATAAAAAGTTCTATAATTTTTAAAATTTAAAAAAAAATTAATTCCCCCCTCATTATTTACTGAAATAATTTGATTATTCTGTTTATGTTAAAATAGAAGCACAAGGTTATGTAACTTTATACTTCATTTTCTGTTTCTAGTTTCTTATCCTATGGCAGAGTTCAGTAATTTTGTGAAATATGTTGATTTTGAGGTAGAAGTTAAACATTGAAGATGATGAATTGCAGTATTGTATTTAAAAATTGCTTGGGTAAAGTGCAGAATCGCCCAGGTACTATTCCGTTTTGAGGACCGTAAAAAATTGCAGCGAAAATGTATGCGCAAAAGCGCCAAATCTAGCAAACGCGGCCATTTAACAGCGCGCCAAATCTAGTGTACGCGTGATTCAGATTACGTAAGTTTATGTAGTTCTATATTTCTTAAGACGCCATTGAAATAATAGTTAATTTTAATCCTTTTTGATATTCTAGGATTTCACAATTTGGGAATGCTCATGACGAAAAGTCTGCAATAAAAATTTTGGGTAAAAGTGCAGAATCACCCACTGCTTGACGCGTTTTAAGAATTGCACATACTCGGTATCCATGTACACAATCATCCATTTTTTTCCAAACAAAATCCCAGAATTGTACAAAACTGTACTGCGTACACCCTTGACTTATCTATATACACATTCGACCTATTTTCTCTTAAAAAGTAAAAGGAAATGACAAAAGGCAAATGTTTTACCCTTGTAAAAGCGGGCAAACAAATAAGTGGGCGATTCTGCCCTCCCTTTACCGAGAATTGTTTCAAAGAAATGGCCTCATTCATTATGAAAATTATGTTTTAAGCAACCAACGAGATGAAATTTGCTTTAGCGATAATCGTAGCGAAAAAATAGCGATGCAAGGCATCCATTAAGTTATATTTAGCAATTTTTATAAATTATAATAATGATCTGAAATAGTTATTTACTCTTATGCTTCCATTGTTTAGTTTAGCTTTTTTATATAAATTATAATAATAAAACAGTATTATATGAAATTAACCTTTAATCTAAATTAAAATGTCAATCTTAGATAGTTATTTACTATTATACTTCCTTTCTTGCCGCAATTATTTTTGGCAGCATTGGTATCAACAATAGTTTGGCGATTTTTTACGGCCCTCGAAACCGAATAGTACCCAGCATTGTATCTGTAAATTGCTTGGGTAAAGTGCAGAATCGCCCACTTCTTTATTTGGCCTTTTTACAAGATATTAAGAAGAATTGGATTTTTGTCAATTTTCTTTGACTTTTTAAGTGAAAATAGGTTGATGTGTACATGGATAATGTCAAGGGAATGCGCAATGCCATTTTTGTGCAATTCTGGGATGTTTTTTAAGTGAAAATAGGTCGATGTATACATGGATACTGAGTATATGCAGTTCTTAAAAACATGCCAAGCAGTGGGTGATTCAGTGCAGTGGGCCCACTGTAGGCATAGTTGACATTCATGGTTGGTCAACTGTATTCACACAGAGTGGGATGTCTGCTGTGGGGCTAATCTTTGGAATATAGTAACAGGTAGTTTGGCGACATTTTGGTAGGCGATAAAGGTTACTATCTAGGGCTTTGGGAATAATGCGAGAAGTACTCAGTTCCGATTACGCATTATTTTGTGTGAGGGAAATGAGAGATCATGAGATATGTCATGTGACATTTATGTAAGAATTACAATTCTTTAATCGGAAAAGGGGGGAAATTTGGAAAAAAAAAAAAAAAAATATCTGCAGTAATTTATAGCATTTTGTATTTAGCTTCATTGTGTGTTGTGTGAAAGAGTGTTGATTAATTTTTGGATCCCATGGCGCTATCTAAAGTGAATTCTAAATTTTTATTGCATTTATCTGATAATCCAAAAGAATTGCTTAAATAGTGTATGAGTGTAGGATTAATTGCGGATAAGTATGAATGTCCAGCATGTGAGGATGAAATGAGATTGTGTGAAAGGAAGGATATTACAGATAAGTTTGAATGGCGGTGCGAGAAATCTGGTGAAAATGGACATTTTGTGAAACGGAGTGTAAGGAAGGGTACGTGGTTTGCTGAAAGTCATTTGGGTATACGTGAAATTTTATTAATTTCTTATTACTGGGTGAATAGACTGCCAGTTGACTACTGGATTATTGAATATATAACAAAAGTTTATCTGCCATGCAATCAAGATTCTGAAGAAAATTAGGTAAGTTAGTATTTTTAATCATTTGAGGATATTATTTTTATGCATGTAAGAAATAAATAAATTAATATGGTATTATTGGAAAATTGTTATTAGCAATGAATTAGTTTAAAGTAATTAGGATTGTAAGGTAATTTTTATTAATTAATGTATGTGCTTATTTATATTTTAAGTAGTGTTTTTTAATTTAATTATATTTTAATTTAATGATCGTGATTTTGTGAGTTATATGTTTGTAGTATTTTGGAATAGGTTTGAGTAGAAGTAAATGTGCATGGAAAGAATATAAATATTTGACATTAAGTATTTGGAACCATTTTTAATGTTTGCGTTATAAATTTGCAGGTGACATTTATAATAGATAATTTAGAGGGAAAAGTTTTTGGATATTTTATTTATTTTATACATGCAAATGTTCATCTTTGGAAAGGGTATATACTTTTTTGTGATCAGGTAATTTCATATATGTCTTTTTTACCGAATTTAAAGATTCACAAAATTTTCCTGCACTTTCGTGAAATTTTTCTAATTTATGAGAAAAAAGCAGTATACATGGATATAGATAAGAGTGTGCGCAATGCCATTTTTGTGCAATTCTGGGGTGTTTTTTTTTAAGTAAAAATAAGTCAACTTGTACATGGTTTAATTATATTTTATTTAAATGATAGTTATTTTGTGAATTATATGTTTGTAGCAATTTCGAATACGTTTCATTAGTGCATGGAAATAAGTTTAAATAAAATGTAAGAAAAAATGCATATAATTTAATATTCCATACAAGGAAGTCATGTGGTGTATACATCAGATTTTTTTGTATTGAATTTGGTCCGACTATTCTTTGCCACCATTTAAGTGAGGCTAATTTAAAACATGAAGAAGAGAAATATTTTTATGTAATAAAACCTTCAGGCAACAAAATATGGATTTAACTTTATTTTTACCGTTGCTGATACTACCATATTAATTCTTCCAGAGATTCGCAGCTTTTGAGAATTAAGTGTAAAGTATTTCCAGATATAAAAGTGTACAAGTATAATTATTAATATTGTTTTTAATGAGTGATTAGGAATTGTAATTTTTTTAAAGTAAAACAGTAAGGGATTGTAAGGAGATATGTTTTCTACAGTTGTTTGTTATTAACTGTTATAGATATAGCTAGATGTTTTAAGAATGGTCAAAGAAATAATGTTTTCTAAATCTCAGTTTATTTGTTTGATGTTTTTCTGTTTTAAGTTTATGGCAGATCACATTTCCTTGGTGACAAAACAGGCTTCCTGTTTTATACTTTAAGACTTGTATTTGTTGATATGTTTTGGTCATGGCAGGTCACATTTACTTGGCGACAAAATTGACATGTCATTTTATATCTAGAGCTCATATTTGGCATTTAAAGACATAAATAACAAAAGAAAATATAAAATTAAAAGGCATAAATAAATAAATCAATAAAACTATAAAACCATATTTTCCAATTTTTCATGCCAAATAATGTAATAATCCCGCAGGTGAACACGAAGACTGTACAGCATTGAAAGAATTTCTTTTTTTTTTATCCTTTACTGTCACATGTTATCCGTGCTTAAATTTAAATTCATTAACACCACCATAGCCTCTGGGTTTAGGCCACAGTAAATTCTTTAAATTACATTTGCATTTTTTCATCATTCTTAAAATTATAATTGAGAAACTGGAAAAAGTAGCAGGCAAAAATCATGATCACAATGAATCAAGTAGCTACTAGGAAAGCTATATAAAGAAAAAGTGCAGAAAGTAGAGGAAAGTGTAGGTGACCTCAAAGATATTTGTTTTGTCGCATAAAAAGTCACGCAGGAAATTTGATTAGCAGGGTAACCACTAGTAGGGGAAATCGTGTCAGTTCTCAGTCCAGAGTTAGATCTGTGTGCAAGCTTTGCTCTTTACATGTGCTTTGCCTTTGCATTGTGTTCTGTTTAACATTCTTAGCTCTATCATACTGAGAAGAGTTCTATGAGTACATTTGTGTAAAGTTCTAGAATTGTAAAGTATTTAATTTGTGTGTGTGCATTCAATTCATTACGTTCCCGTATGTGCACAACAGCTTTTGGTGTCAGAAGTGGGATTGAACACTGGTGACAGGAGTAATGGTAGAGCAACTAAGATAGCTGGTGGCAGCCTTTGCTGCATTC